GGGGGGGGGGGGGGGGGGGGGGGAGAGGGCAGTCCACAGGCCCCCTCCCCCGCCTCCGGTGGTGCCCCGCAACTAACCCAAAACGGGGCTCTCCAGGAGCAGGGAAGAAGGACAGGTGGAAGAGGAGAGGGCGGGCCGGGGAGGGGAGGAAGGGGAAAGGAGAAAATGGAGGAGAGAAGGGGAGACAGGAGAAGGAAAGGAGCAAATGGAGGGGAAGGAGGGAGGAAAGGAGGAAAAGAAGGTGAAAATAGAAGGGAGGGGGCCAAGGCCAAGCCGGGGGAGGGGGAAGCCGGCCCAAGAAAGGGCCCCGCCCCCTCCCCTAGCCAGGCCGGCCTGGGGGGGCCACGGGGGGCGAGGACTGGGTGGAGACCAGAAAGCCGGCCATCAGGGTAAGTGGGGGAGGGGAGGGCTTTTTGGGGGGAGGGGGTCACCCCTTCCCCCCTCCCCCCTGGAGCCTGGGCCCTGCCCTGGATGAGGCAAGGGCCTGGAGTCCTCAAGCCCTCAGCCCCCACGGGAAAAGCATGCTGGGGGCGGGGAGAGGCCGAGGAGTGGAGGGGCTGGGAGGATGGGGTGCTGGGAGACCCAGAGAGGCAGAGAAGGGGCAGGCGAGGTGGTGAGATGGGGAGGAGGGCAGGAGGATGGAGGGGAGGATGGGGAAGAGCAGGTGGAAGAGGAAAGCGGAGGAGGGTGGGGTGTCCCGGGGGCGCCCGGCGCAGGGCCTCGGAGGGAGGGCCTGGCTACGGACTCCTGGTCCCCTGCGAGGAGCAGCCGCCGGCTCTGGGTCCCCAGCTGAGCCTGCCTCCCTGCTGCTGGCCGCCACCGCCGCCGTTGCTGCTGCCGCCGCCCGCCCGCCGCCACTGCCACCGCCACCTCTCCTTCTCCCCTCCGAGGCCGCCGCCTGCCTGCCCGCCCGCCGCCCGCGCTGGGTCCTGGAGCGCAGGGGGCGGGGGGGAGAGAGAGATGAGGGAGGGAGGGAGGCAGGGAGGAGGGCAGGCGAGAGGAAGGGAGGGAGGCAAGCAGAGAGAGAGAAGGGAGGGGAGTCGGGGGAGGGGTAGCCCTTATTGGTCGGGGCTGGGGGGCCCGCGAGGAGAATGCTGATGAGGGAAGGCGCTGCATTGGATAGAGGGCCCACCCCGGGGCCATCCCCTCCACCACACCATGCCACCGCCCTGCCCAGGCAGCCCTTTGGCACAGCAGCCCACGGAGACAAGAAGCGGGGAGACCTGGGGAGAAGGCTGTGGAGCTGGGAGAGATGGCTACAAAGATGAAGAAAAATGCAGAGAAACAGCAAAACCGAGGTGGGCCAAGGTCCACAAACCCCACAAGGACAAGGACAGGGAAAAGCCCAGTGAAAAGAGAGAAAGGCCCATAGAGACAAGGGAGCAGACCAAGCAAAGGACCTCAGAGAGAAGGGCAGCTCCAGGACACAGCCCCCTGGGAAAATGGGGACAGGGGGCAGCTTGTGGATTTAGAGAGCCACTTGGGAAGATGGGAACAGGAGGCAGCTCGAGGACACAGAGAGCTCTCCATGAGGATGGGGACAAGGGGCAGCTCGTGTACTCAGAGAACCCACCAGGAAGATAGAGAGAGGCCCACGGGAACAGAAAGCACTCCTCAGACACAGGGAGTTGTCCATGGTGACGGGAGAAGGCCACGGGCAGGAGGAGAGGCCCACAGAAATGGGAATAAGGACACATGTCACAAAGACAGGGAGGAGGGCCAAAGAGAGTGGGAGAATGTCATAGAAATGGGGGGAGGCCCAAAGACACCAGGGAACCCACAAAGACAAGGATGCGGACACAAGAGGCCCACTGAGGCAGGAGCAGCCAGCTCATGGAGACAGGGGAGAAGCCCCCAGAAATAGAAGTACCGCCATGGAGGCGAAGGGATGGGTGGTGAGTATGGGAATTCTTTATAATGCACAGAGAAATCCTTGGGACCCACTGAGATAAGTGGGAGGGGAGAAGAGGCCCTGGTTCTCTAGTCACCCAAGCAGAGAGGCAGTGGGAAAGGGCAGAGAGCTGGAGGGCAGAGCCAGCAGAAGGGGGAGACTCCCTCCCTCTTAGAGGGAGCTGAGCAGGGCAGGGGGATGGAAGAGAAGCAGCGACACAGATCTTGGAGTGGGGGTGGGTGGTGCACGGCTGGGTGGGGGGTGAAATTTGGGGGGAAGGAACACGACAGTTGGTGCTGAAGGCTCAGCCCATGACTCACCACCACCCCCAACGCTCGTGATGGGGAGGAGACACTGACACGCTCACGTGCAGCCCCCCAGCACATGTGACCACATGCCCCCCAACACACGTGACTGCATGCCTCGCACGCGCACACACATAGCACGTGGCAGCTGTTAGACCAGCCTGGCGTGGGGAAGCCCTCTACAGCTGGTTTGTGGGGCATTCCTTGACATACATCTGACACATACACCTGACCCTGAAGGACCACCAACTTTGCACACACCTCCTCACCCTACCTGGGCAACACCTATGGCCCCCGCAACACCCACCTTGAACTCCAACTAGGCCTGAAAGCCCAGACTCATACTGGCCTGTAGGCCTTTGCGTATGCAGGGACCCCAGCATAGAATGCCTATCGTCTCTAAATTGAACCTGTCCCCTAATCCTGTGCCACCAACTCCAGAAAGACTGATCCAGGCCTGAGTTTACTCCTTTAACATCTGAAAAGACCTAGTCAACCCAGATAAATTGGGAAATCCAAGCAGAAGGTACCTGTAGAAAGGGGCCTGACTAGCCAAGGTGGACCCTTGCATTTTCAAGTGGGGAAAGGTGGCCTCCTGCAGGAGTGAGAACCTACCCCAGGACATGGAGCCTGTCAAAGGCTGAGTCTAGCTTTCAGGTTCTCTGGCTCTGGCCAGCCCCAGGCCCCTGCCAGCCCCAGGCCCCAGGTGACTTCACCCTGAGGGCAAATGCAGATGACCAGCTTTACAGCTCATTGATTCCCACCAATTTCTTTCCTCTTCTAGCATTCATCCATTCAACATGCCACTCGGGACATCCTGCCTGCCAGGCAGTAGAGCCTGGGAGCCAAGAGTGTAGACCTTGGAGTCAACTCCTGGGTTGGAATCCTGGCTGTCTCTTCCTAATGATGGACACAGTTACTTAACTTCTCTGGGCCTCAGTTTGTTTTGTAAAGTGAGAACAATAATACCTCCCTCCTAGGGTGGTTGAGAGGATTAAACTGAGTAATACATGGAAAGTATTGAGCACAATACTTAACATATAACACCCTCAGGACGTGTTAGCTATTATTACTAGGCTCCTTGAGGTCCTAATAAAAATAATTCTTATGTAGCTTTTACTCTGTGCCTCACAACAACCATATGAGACAGGGCCTACTGTCCCCACTTCACAGATGAGGAAACTGAGGCACAAGGGAGTTGACTTGCCCAAGATGACAGCAAGCAGGTGGCAAGGCCAGGATTCCAATCCAGGCAGCCAGGTTTAATTACATGGTTCCGGTGTTAGGGAGTTTAACCTAGCGGAAAGTTAGGACACCCAGTTAGAAACCAACTGAAGGACACAGTTTGCTGAAGAGTCAGACTTAGGTCCTACTCTGTTTAGGGCCCCCTGGTAGCTTTTTGGCCTCAGAAAAGTAAATGACCAATTACTCTGAGACTCAGTTTACTCATCTGAAAAATGGGGGGCGGGCACAGTTAGAACAAGTGAATCTCTTGCAGCTCCCCTCTCCTTGGGTTCAGGGAGAAGCTCCGGAAACGTGTACAACAGCCCTGAGGGCCAGACGGGGAGGGTCCCCATGGACACACGGGGACTCCACCTTCCCTGAGCTGTGGGGGTGCAGCCTGGAAGGAAGCAGAGACGAGTCCATCCGCTACAAGGTCACTTCCTGCAGGTTCTGACCCTGGTTGTCCTTCAGGTCATCTGCTCCCCACACTCTTTCTTCAAATCAAACTGCCTGTCTCTGCTTTTTCTTTTTCTCCTTCCATTTTCCATCTCCTCCCTTATCCTTCAGGTTTTCCTCGTTGCCTCCGATTCCCTCTCTCCTTGCTTTTCCTCTGACATTTCTCCTCCTCCCTCCCGCGAGTCCCTCGGTTTTTCTCCCTTTCCTTCTTGCTGCCTTTATTACTCTCGTTCTAACGGAGTCTGGAGCCTTGATTTCCCCTTTTTCTCCCTTCATGTGACTGGTACTGCAGTTTCCCTTCTCCCCTTCGCCCTGACTGAGCTTCACGCTCTCCCTTCGTTCTTCAGGGGGTCCTGCGGCTCAACTTCCCCGCCCTCGCCCTCCGGAGGTCGCGTGCCTCAACTTCTCCGACTTTCCCCTCCACCCCGCCGCGGCTCCCCAGCGTCCTCCCCAAGATGGCGCCCGCAGCCTCGCTCCGCCTCCTGACGTCATCGCGCTGGCCTGTCGTCTCGAGCCGCCAGGAGGAGTCGACGAGGAGGTGGAGGAGGAGCATCCTCCGGGCTTAAGGGGGCGGCCACTATTAACCCGGGGGCCGGCCGGTAAGGCAACGTCGTTAGGGGATTGGCTGGGCGCCGCGGGGGTTCCCGACGCTCCCTACTATTGGCCCACGGCTCGGAGACGTGAGCGTCGATTGGCCTAACGGCAGGGCCCAGGCGGGCGGTGATTGGGCGCGTTCGGCCGTCCGCGCGGCGGCCGAGGAGGAAGGTGGGAGGGGCGTTGCTGAGGGCGATTGGGGGCGAGAGCGAGGCTGCGGAGCAAGCGAGAAGCCACGGCGGGAGCTAGAGAGGGCGCAGCGCTAGGGTGGCCGCCCGGGGCGTGCGAGACGGCGGAGGCGGGTGAGTGCCGGCCGGCGCGCGGAGGGCCGGCCCGGCTCCCCACCCTCCCCGCGCGGCCTCCTCTCGCCACCCCGCCTGCGCACTGAGGACCGGTGGGGGCGCGCGCCGGGTGAGGGCGGAGCGGCACCAACGGCCGGCGGGGCGCGCTGGCGGCCGGGCGGGGGCCGGGCCGGGCCGGGCTGGGGCGG